ATTATGGATTATGGACTTTTGTCTTCTCCAGATGTTAACTGATGGACTGGAGTGCTGTAGATTACTTGTGGATTATTGTGATGTTTTTATCAGCTGTTTGGACTCTCATTCTGACGGCACCCATTCACTGCAGAGCATCCATTGCTGAGACACTGATGCACTGCTACATTTCTCCAAACCTGATGAAGACACAAACTCATCCTGATCTGGGATGATCTGAGGGTGAGCACATTTTCACGTTGGCTGAACTACTCCTTTAAATCCGATCTGGAATGTAAATCATTTCTATGTCAAACTTTACTCCACATAAATGGTGATCCTGGCCAGGTGCCGTAGCCGTGTAAACACACATGCATGTGTGCCAGAGTCTTCACTGATATATCCAGCCAGACAACCAGCATGAATCCCACCAGGACACATCATCTCCCAAAACTAAACGCATGATAAGACGAGCATAATAATGAACATACAGAAGTACTTCGGTATGAAAGCTCAATCAATTTTCTTCACTGCCATCTGTGTCTTGTAATGTTTGAAGAGTAAATCAATTCGATTCACTCCATCACTGATAACCTTCCCATCGGTGAGGTTAATGTATCATGCGACATTTATTATTTGAAGTCATTTTGATGCATTCCCCGCCAAGCGTTTCCCCGAATATTAACCTCAGACACTGACATAAACCAGTCCGGCTGCTGGTTTAGTGTTTAATCTCCAACACAGAAGCACAGTCAAACATCTACAACAACAAAATATTTAAAAGTATAGCATATTTTCCACGATTACACAGAGATTTCCATCTTGGTATACTGTACAGGTTTTGGTGGCAAACTTTATTGGCGCCATCTATTGAAAGTACAAATGAACTGAAAACGTTTTCTCAGCGAATGCATTGAAAAGTATTAGCAAAGATACATCATCGAAATGCATGCAAACAGATTTAAGTGCTAAAAATATGAAGCAATAAAGTAATAAAAATGTTATTAAAACATTCATTATTCATTAGCAAAAATATTTTGGAACACACACACACACACTCTCTCACACACACACACACACGCACACAACCAGTCAAAAGTTTTTGAACAGCAAACTTTTTCATGTTTTTTAAAGAAGTATCTTCTGCTCACCAAGCCTGTATTTATTTTTTGGATTCAAAATTAAATGAAATAAATGTAATGTATTTCTGTGATGCTCAGCTGTATTTTCAGCATCATTCCTCCA